AGATTCTTGGGATGGAAAATCAGGTTCGCTTTCCCCAAGGGTACCACAACAGGACAGCTGCAAACTGGGAACGAGACTGGTTTACAAACATTTCAGTAGCTGACAGGAGAAAACTGTACAATCTTTATAAAGCAGACTTCAGATTATTTGGATATGACAAACCTGAGACACTTCTGGACGAGTGACAGAAACAGTTGTTCTTTAAAAGAAATTAGCCTACATGTATATAATGTGAAATAAAAGTGGATTGTACACTTAAACATTTTCTAATTTATTTGACTAAAACAGTGAATTGTCAGGTGCACATTTTTAGATTTTATATAAAACTTGTTATAAAATATATGTTGTGTTGTATTGCTGATGAATGATTTGAATAAAAAACAAACTGATTAATGTTTCACTCGTGGAAATTTAGTAATAAAATTACAGTAAAATTACAAATTAAATAGCTCAGGTAATGAAATTGAATGATCTAAACTGGTTACAATAGACCTTATGGGTAGCGCCATACTGATTTTTTGACAGAAATTAAAACAATGGCATGCACTGCATAAGGTCCTACTAGTTCATGCAATTTTCTATGTTTAAAACCATTTTGTCTACTACTTTTTTGGAAATATGTTTTGTCAGCTGAATAATCAGTATGTTGTTAAACAACAGTACAACTGTTGTACCTCTGTCCCTCGATTTTGTCAAAAAATTAAATATGGCTCTAGTACCCTGATTAACGTCTACTGAATAAACCAAAGCAGTTATTTGTTTTGGCCACAAGGGTGCAGTGTGTTTCAATTGATTTGTTGCAGAAAGAGTGATATACTACAGTCAGCCATGTGAGTAGCACTCAGATGGAGTTCTGAAACTTGACTGAACTTATGAATCTTTAATGCTAGAAAAAAAAAATCTAATGTAGAATTTATGAAATGAGCCATATTTTGACAGCTCTCTAAGGCCCAGTGAAAGTGAAGGTTCTTGTTTTTATTTGAAACGACATCTCTGACCAAAAGTAGAGAGAATAAAATAATTGGAGACAGTTACATTTCACATGATCTGAAAGTGTAATGTCAGAGTTCTTATTAGAGGAAAATATGACATTTTTATTTTAAGTTTTAACAATATAAACTGTTTTCAGGAATAGATTTAGATTTTGTCACTACCAAAACATTTGGTTGCATTTCGGTAGTGACAACTTTGTGGGTTTTTTTGGGGGGGGGGGGTTATGTCGCAAAACATTTTGGTTTTTTTTCCGGGGTAACACTTTTTGTGTTTTTTTTGGGGGGGGGGGTTATGTCATGAACATGTCATCATTGTTTCGGCAGTGACAAAAGGGAACACATAATCCTCATATTTGGGTGAAATAAACACAATTTTAGTATGTTTTAGAGTGTTTTAGTATGCAAGTTAACATTCTGTAATGTGATGTGGTTGCTACAAAAGCATTACTGTCACTACCGAAACATGGGATGGTTTGTCAAAAATAAAGTATACTGAATTATCAACTAAGATGTCATGTTTTTGGTTCAATGTATATTCAAACTAATGAATCCTTAACTTTGAAATCAGTATGATCAACTTTTTGATTCAAAATACAACAAATCTCATAGATTACACTTGAAATATTGTTAAAAATGTAACTATTATTGATTTACCTCTGAAAAAAATTTTTATAGCAAAAATATATATTTACAATGTAGATGTAAAAAATATTAATAGGTCAATATAACCCTTCTAATTAAATTATTATAACTGTGTTTCAGTAGTGACAAACTTGGGGAGAGGACAAGTATTCCAAAACTTTCTGAAAATAAAATATGAGAATTAACTGCACAATTACTAGAAATGTGTACCTTGGATATTATACAATTTGTATACATACAATTTTTTTTTTAAAGAGACGCGTTTCCAACTCTGACTTGGGACCAATTCTGTATGGCCCATATAAAGATTACTAAGGTTGTATTCATCTATTATTACTATTATTATTAATATATTGTTAACATTAATAGTAATGTAGTAATGCTATTAATAGTAATAATATAACAAAGCTCTCTATTTTTATAATAACATTTAGCCTAATAATTATAATTATTAAAGGAAAGGAGGAAAAGGCCATGACATGTGGCCAAGTATGATGTCCAATGCTCAGAAGTTGAGCTCTGCAATTAATCCATCCAAGTGCACACACACTCACACAGCCATGAGTAGTGAACACACACACACCGTGAACATACACCAGGAGCAGTGGGCAGCCATTTTTGCTACAGCGCCCGGGGTGCAGTTGGGGGTTTGGTTCCTTGCTCAAGGGTCTCACCTCAGTAGTGGTATTGAAGGTGGAAGAGAGCTAATCATTCACTCACCCCATCTACAATCCCTGCCAGTACCGAGACTCGAGCCTGCAACCTTTGGGTTACAAGCCCGACTCTCTAACCATTAGGCCACAACTGCCCCTAGATTATTAATATTATTACTATTATTGTTATTATTATATATTAACATTTAATGCGATTATCAAATGAAATACAAAATATATTGTTGTTGTAATCTGTTCACTAGTTATTTAAATTGGACTATGCAATAATAAATAATGGTACTGAGTGTTTTGTTAGTCATATTCCTTCATTACAAATGAAGAGATGAAAAGGTCACTGTAAATTCCATTATGCAAAAATACTGTTTTGTTATGTCCTCTTTCCCGAAATCTCTTTAAAGTTCTCTATCAAACTGACTAGAACTGGATAGTCTGAAAGGTCAAGGGCAAATTCACCAAGCCCAGCCTTCTGAACTACCGTCCTCTTCATCTTGCCTACGCTTCTGCTGTATGACAGCTTGAAAGGTTGTGTGGCAGGTTCTTTTAAAGTCGTCCCCTCTACGAGATGCTTTAGAATAAAGGTCAGGACTAATGGGCAACTGCAGTCACCCACAGGAACAGGATGCAAGTACTTTTTTGTTTCCTGTGACCCCTGTCTGTGCTGACTCATGTCCATTATTTCTTACTTTAGTTCAGCACATTCTTTCACCCCCCTGAAAAGGGATCCCACTTGTTGCGACATAATCAGTGAATGAACTAAAAACAGTACAGGATTAATAAAGAAAATGTGCAGTTCCTGCTGGTTGCACTTTCTGTTAACAGTGAACAAAACAGGGACTAAAAATGTCATTAAAGTTCTTTTTCAAGAGGTCAAGATTTTTTTAAAGCAAATAGAACCAATTATTATGACTGTCTACCATATACAGATGTTTGTTAAATTT